TATTGTTTATATTCGTCGTATTCTCATTGACTTATGGTATATTACATCTAAAAATATTCAATATTTTTCTTCACCGTCCCAAAGTTTTAAATTTTTTTATCACGAAGTTAAAAACATAATAGACTGTAGTAGATATAAAAAAATAATTATACTTTTTTCTCTACTATATCACAAAATTTTAGGTTTTTCCCCACTAAAAAACAAAGTTAAAAGACTATATAATCCATGACATATTTTTTATAAAAAATAGGTCATAATTAAAATAAATAATCAAGCTAGAATTTATTGATATTTTCCATTTTCACATTGAATTATGGTAAGTTAGATGTAAATATAGTCAATATATTTTTCTCCATCACCAAATTTCATGTTTCTTCGTCACTAAGCCACATAGTAAAAAGACAGAAAATGAATTACAAATAAATTACATCTACATGGGTAATCAATAAAATTAAATTTTTAAGCTCAATGTTATTTGTATTCACTATAATCACATTGTATTATGATGTAATAGATGTAAACAATTTCTATATTTTTCTTCTTCTCCATCACCAAAACTTTGGTTTCCTCACCTCTGACAAACTAAGTTAAGAGACAACAAATGAATGTCCCATAATTTATACATACGCATAACAATTAAAAGTAAATTATCAAGCTCAGTATTGTTTATATTCGTCATATTCTCATTGACTTATGGTATATTACAACTAAAAATATTCAATATTTTTCATCACCATCCCAAAGTTTTAAATTTTTTTATCACGAAGCTAAAAACATAATAGACTATAGTAGATGTAAAAAATTAATAATATTTGGTTTTTCTACTACATCACAAAACTTTAGGTTTTTCCCCACTAAAAAACCAAGTTAACTGACTATAATCCATGACATATTTTTTATAAAAAATAGTTAATAATTAAAATAAATAATCAAGCTAGAATTTATTGATATTTACCATTTTCACATTGAATTATTGTAAGTTAGATGTAAATATAGTCAATATATTTCTTCTCCATCACCAAATTTCATGTTTATTCGTCACTAAGCCACAGAGTTAAAAGACAGTAAATGAATGACAAATAAATTACATCTACATGGGTAATCAATAAAATTAAAAATTTAAGCTCAATGTTATTTGTATACACTATAATCACATTGTATTATGGTATAATAGATGTAAACAATTTCTATACTTTTCTTCTTCTCCATCACCAAAACTTTTGTTTCCTCGCCTCTAACAAACTAAGTTAAGAGACAACAAATGAATGCCCCATAATTTATACATACGCATAACAATTAAAATTAAATAATCAAGCGCAGTATTGTTTATATTCGTCGTATTCTCATTGACTTATGGTATATTACATCTAAAAATATTCAATATTTTTCTTCACCATCCCAAAGTTTTAAATTTTTTTATCACGAAGTTAAAAACATAATACACTGTAGTAGATGTAAAAAATTAATTATATTTTGTTTTTCTACTCCATCGCAAAACTTTAGGTTTTTCCCCAACAAAAAACAAAGTTAAAATACTATAATCTATGACATATTTTTATAAAAAATAGGTAATAATTAAAATAAATAATCAAGCTAGAATTTATTGAATTTTACCATTTTCACATCGAATTATGGTAAGTTAGATGTAAATATAGTTAATATATTTCTTCTCCATCACCAAATTTCATGTTTCTTCGTCACTAAGCCACAGAGTTAAAAGACAGAAAATGAATTACAAATAAATTGCATCTACATGGGCAATTAATAAAATTAAATTTTTAAGCTCAATGTTATTTGTATTCACTATAATCACATTGTATTATGGTATAATAGATGTAAACAATTTCTAAATTTTTCTTCTTCTCCGTCACCAAAACTTTGGTTTCCTCACTTCTAACAAACTAAGTTAAGAGACAAAAAATGAATGCCCCGTAATTTATACATACGCATAACAATTAAAATTAAATAACCAAGCTCAGTATTGTTTATATTCGTCATATTCACATCGACTTATCGTGTATGACATCTAAATTTATTCAATATTTTTCTTCACCATCCCAATGTTTAAATTTTTTATCACTAATCTAAAAACATAATAGACTATAGTAGATTTAAAAAATTAATAATATTTTATTTTTCTACTACATCACAAAATTTTAAGTTTTTCCCCACTAAAAAACAAAGTTAAAAGACTATAATCCATGACATATTTTTTACATATAATAGGTAATAATTAAAATAAATAATCAAACTAAAATTTATTTATATTTACCATTTTCACATTGAATTATGGAAAGTTAGATGTAAATATAGACAATATGTTTTTCTCAATCACCAAATTTCATGTTTATTCGTCACTAAGCCACAGAGTTAAAAGACAGAAAATGAATTACAAATAAATTACATCTACATGGGTAATCAATAAAATTAAATTTTTAAGCTCAATGTTATTTGTATTCACTATAATCACATTGTATTATGGTATAATAGATGTAAACAATTTCTATATTTTACTTCTTCTCCATCACCAAAACTTTGGTTTCCTCACTTCTAACAAACTAAGTTAAGAGACAACAAATGAATGTCCCGTAATTTATACATACGCATAACAATTAAAATTAAATAATCAAGCTCAGTATTGTTTATATTCGTCGTATTCTCATTGACTTATGGTATATTAAATCTAAAAATATTCAATATTTTTCTTCACCATCCCAAAGTTTTAAAAAAAATTATCACGAAGTTAAAAACATAATAGACTGTAGTAGATATTTTTATGTTTTTCTACTCCATCACAAAACTTTAGGTTTTTCCCCACTAAAAAACAAAGTTAAAAGACTATAAGTCATGACATACTTTTTATATAAATTAGGTAATAATTAAAATAAATAATCAAGCTAGAATTTATTGATATTTACCATTTTCACATTGAATTATGGTAAGTTAGATGTAAATATAGTCAGTATATTTCTTCTCCATCACCAAATTTCATGTTTCTTCGTCACAAAGCGACAGAGTTATAAGACAGTAAATGAATTACAAATAAATTACATCTACATGGGTAATCAATAAAAATAAATATTTGAGCTCAATGGTATTTGTATTAACTATAATCACATTGTATTATGGTATAATAGATGTAAACAATTTCTAAATTTTTGTTTTCGATTGATAAATTGTTAAAGGCATTAAACATCTTGTTTGAAGCTTTAATCATTAATCATTACATTGTCTATTACTTCATTACAAATCTTTTGTGTGTATGCATGTATAGTTTCAATCTTGTTCCAATATCTTAAGACCATTTCTAAACAAGTTTTCACCACATTCGTTTCCGCTTGCGTAGTCTGATTTTTAAATCAAAAAGAAGAAAACTTTAATTGTCTATTTGACTCCCCCTTCTCCCATTCTAGACAAATTACTCCATATTCAAACCAACAACACTGAATGCTGAGGGAAAGTCATCTAAGTTAACTCATCATAAGATTTTAGAGTAGTAGTAGACTAAGGCAAATCATGTCATTGATGTGTTGTCTACATGTTGTCGTATTATAGATCTAGTGCGCGCGGGTATAGATTGAGGAGGATTTTCGAAAGGCTCTTCTAGGAGGACCATTGTAGATGTCATTCTTACTGAGGCATGGATGACATTGTAATACAGGAGACAATGAAGAAACAGGGAGTCCAATATACGTAGTAGTATTGTATTTGTATTATGGATAGCATTCTTATTGTTATTTTGAATGTATTATGAATTCAGAGTTGAATCATTTATATATGATCTTGTCATCTTGGTATATCAATGTTTGGTTTAATGGATAAAAAAAGTTATTATGATAATATAGTTATAATACATGGTATATTACATAGGTGTTTTTTTATATAAAAAAAAAAATCAAATTTTAGTAATTATAGAGTAAATAAGAAAGTGTATATCCATAATTTGATACGGACATGCATTTTTAAATAAAATTATTTCAAAAATGAAGGTGTCTCTGTTAAGAATTGATGCATCCGTTAAGAATTGATGGGATGCATATAACGTGAATATGAAAATACATCTTCAAATTAATTTCTAACAAAAAGAGAGGCGTGACTTAAGTGGAAAAAACAACCCCCAACTCTAATTGTCTGGAGGAAGTACATTCTTCTCTAAAAAGAGAAGAAAGAAGAAAAAAGTCAGAGAACTAAGTTAAGAGGAGGCCCGATGCAAGGAGTATTTGCAGTTCAATTTAAACTAATTTGTGTTTAAAAAATAATCATTCAATCCAAACATTAAAATAACATTGAGTTTGGTTCAGTCTCAATCTAATCATATAACAAGTACTCCCACCATTTCTATTTACAAACAAATTTTAACATTTTAAATTCATTTAATATTAAAAAAAAAAAAACATTGTTATTACACAATACTCCCTCCATTCTCTTTTATAAACAAATTTTATTTATTCAATATATAATAAATAATTGGACTAATATATAAGTTAGATGAATTAATTACTTAATAAATAGGAATGGAGGAGAGTAGAGTATAAATTATGTTTAGAAGATGGAAAATAGTACATAAAAATAGTATTCAATTAATAAATGCTATGAAATTATGTTCCATTTGATTTGGATTTTAGTAAAATAATTCAAAGTTTGATGATATTCAAACAATTTTTACAAGAAAAAAAAATCCAAAAACATCCAACTAAGCTTTCAATGAAATGTATACACAAATAAATATTCTATTTTATTTCTTATTACAAGTATAGAGGAAACAATTGAAAAATTAGACCTGCATTTACTTAAGAGACAAATATAATACATTAACTAACTGCTACATCCACCACCTAAAGAAGGGGTGCGAAGAGCAACACTATATATAACATGATACACAACATAGAATTCTTTGCTGATAAAACTAGCCTTACACACAAACTTATACATTAATTTGGGTAATATGAAATATATAATTTTGTAGTCTACAAAATACCCTTCCTCATTTGTAAAGAGAATCAACATACTGTACGTCCATAGCACAAACAAGCAAGGTAAAGGTTTTTAGACCATTTTTCCTGAAAAATAAATATGAGAAGAATCAGTTTTTGTAGGTAGTTAAGAACATCAAGTGTTGATTTATCAACCCTAACCTTAACATGTGTGCTTGGAAACTGAGATGTCCTGAGAGTTTCCTGTGTTTCGTCGGCAGGTCTGCGCCTTGGTTTGCTTAATATAAGAGCAGATTGATCCCATGTAGCAGCAGTTGCTGTAATTCTGTAACCATTATCCCATCTTCTATGGACTCCTTCGCTAGGGTAGAGAAAATCGAGTTCAACAACCTACATATAAAAGGTGTGATGAGAAAGCTAGGAAAAGAAACAATGACTGCAGGGCAGAAAATTTCAATAAAAGTTTGGAATACTACTTATCGAATCCAAAGGCGGGAAAACAAAATAATTGAAGCAGAAAAGCTTTGATGCCATTGTATCATGTCAAAGATTAGAAAATAATAAACAAAAAACCTGATCACTGAATCCAGCATTCCGCGACATGACAACACCCCAACGACTTCCAGCAGTGGCCATTGAAGTCACATGAAAACCTTCTCTCCATTTCTTGTTTATCCATTTGAAGGGGAAAGAGTCACTTACTTTGTATGACTGTTGTGTATACTGTGTGCCTGTGGAAATCAGAACAAAAATCATAATGAAGTTTTTCCTATCTTGTTCCCTCTACTATTGAAAAAAAGAAACACTCGTGCATGTGGACAAACAACATCCGGATAGAACTTCCAAATATGGGATGCCGCATAATGTTGCCAATGGCGTAGCAGTGGTAGGGCTCGGCGCTACACTTTTAGCTGTGAGCCGTCTTCTGCAGTATTGGTTATTGCAGCTGCTATTAGGTTTTTGGGGCGAAATTCCTTCGATCCTTTTTCTTTAACCATTGTCTTTTATTTAAAGGTATAAATGTCAATTTGAACCCTTTTAAGTTTTAAGGGTAATGTTATGTTCTTCATACTACTATGGACTTGCTCACAAACAATCGTTTTCTTGTGCCTGCTTATAGTTCAGTTCTGTTATGCTAAGTTCTGTCTTTAGCTTCTTTGATTTTTAAGTATGCTAGTCTCTTTAAATGTGTATTTTCCTATTTTTGAGTATTTATGTTTACTTTGTCCGCTGATCAACAGTCTTTGCAATAGCGGCTATGCCTCTATCCACTAAACTGCTATAGCATTTTAGGGGATAAGTGCTACACGACGCTATCTAGGATTAACAATATAGAATGCACTCAGTAAACTTGAGTAGAGCCTCTTCGCCAAATGTATAAGAAATTGGAACAGGAGGGAATAAAAAAGACACATCATGTAAAATGTAATTTCATGCAAATAGAATTTCAAATTACTCCAAAAATAATATGCAACTGATAAACTTAACTATGAAATTCACCAAGTTTATTCAACCAACAAAATGTGCTTTAACATTTTAAACCCTGATGTTCTACAACAATCATGATCTAATCACCTTCACTCCCATTACTGTGAAACCTATATAGCCTGACAGTTTAAAAGAGACCCAAAATATACCAAATGACCCTAAGAATTTGACCAACTAACTTAAACAAGACCTTAAAATTTTGGATCTAATGCATCATTTTGCGGAGCAAATATCATTCATCGTTTTTATTAAGTAAGGTAAGCAAACAAACCTTTTGACATCACCACAAGAGAGCTCCCATTTGTAACCCCAGCAATAGAAGTAATGTAATAATTCTTCTCCCACTGTTCCATGATCCATTCCTAGAAAGAAACAGAATTGCATTGGTAAGTTTCATCAATTGGAAACAGGTTATAAAGTGTTAGAAATGACTGATGTTAGATTATATAATTTAACCTTATGCAAGAATAAAGGTGACAACTTGTAAACTTGATTTGTAAAACCAGTTCCAGCATCCATAATAAGTGCCCAGAGATTGGAACAAGAAGCCACGCAACTAATAAGAAGGCCGTCTGCGATTCCCCGCTCTACATGCTGCTCTAATCTTCCATCCGCTACATTGTAATGATACCTAGAAGTACAGCCATGTTTCAGTATAACCACAACATCATGATGATAACAAAACACAAATGCAGAATATACGTTTCCCTTCAAGGTATAACTCATTTATTTGTGAAAATCCCAATTCAGATAAACAAACACAGGAATATAAAAATCTACAAAGAATGACGAGCTATGTATTCCCTGGCATTTACGATGGTTAAATTTGTATAATATTTTTCCATATATTAACCAATAAACATCTAAGGCGGTTTGAACATGTATTTGGACATCATTATGATAGATTCGGAGGTAAGAAATTTATCTTTGAACTTTATACATAATAGGGAATTTAAGCATCTCGAGATCCATGTAGCCAAATCCACTTAATGGGATGAGGCCCAGTTATATATATCCAATTTCCCCAATATAGGAAACAACATCAAAGAGAGATTGCAGTTCTACCTTTGCTTCATTGGCATTCTTGCGTTGTAAATTGATATCCATTGTGTAGCAGGAACCCCCAAACGAACCTTCTTCTTGGGCTGTGAATCATCTTCTTCCTCAATATTCAATCTTCCCCTCTTTTGCCCAACCTGGTAAATTTTGATTGAGGAAACATAGGATCATAATGAATACAATGACACCATATAAAAATTTAAAAGCATGATAATAAAACAAATCCAAAATAAGAGATATAGAAAATAGCACCATCAACATTACCTTTTGAGCACCTTCAGTATTAATTGGCCGCAATGCAGGATTTGGTCCAAGCATACTATCAAACAGGGATATTAGCTTGGAATAGTTAGGTTCTTCGTCGAATTTCATGCCCACTACAAACTCGAGAAAATGTCTGAAAGGAGCAGGGCAGAAGCAGCATAACATCTCAGGAGAAGTCCCCATCTTCTTTTTGCAAACAAGATAGGACTTATTATCTCCCTAACAAAGAAAATTAGAGCAGATTAAAACAAAATACGTAAAAGAAACACATTTGCCACAGCAAATATTTGATGAGAATAAAAAATAAATGTAAACACACCTGATAACCTTGCCATGGTAAACGACCCTTATGAAGGAAAATGAGTGTATATGCAAGGGATTCAAGATCATCCCTTCTACTAGCAGTTCTTCCCAAATGAGCATGAACACTTGCATATCGAACAGTTCCTCTACGGAAATTAAGAATATAAGCCTCAAGAAGTTTCATAACCATCCAAGAATAAATACACCAATAAAAAGCAGTGAAAATGAAAAATGATGCCAGTAGAATTTAAGAGAAAGGGTTTTTAAAGAAAAGATAAGGGGAAAAAAGAAACCTGAACATATCAGGGCGTTGATCGTATTCAACATGCTGCCCATTGGATGTGTCTCTCCACTTTGTGGCTGAAAAAAAAATCCTCATAAGACTAAAAAGAAAAGGGCCAATAAGAACAAAACATCTCACCCTTCTCATTCAAACTACTCACCTAATCCGAGGTCAACAAGAAACAATTTCTTCTCTTGTGCTGTACCTGGCTGACCTAGTAAAAAGTTTTCTGGTTTTACATCTCCATGCACATATCTAATAATGAACAATAGCAATATTTAGAAACAGGGAACTCAAAACTCAATCAATATAACAAACTACAGGCTGAATATAAACTTGTTTGACCTATAACATACCCCTTTGAATGCATCTTGTCCAAGATAGACAATGACTCAACAGCAATACATGCAGTCATTTCTGCAGACATCCTACACATTCAAGAGACAAGTAATACATTCCATTAAAAAAGACAGACAATAACAGAATGTCAAGGGAAAAAACAAGAAACAGATTGGTCATAGGTTCACTGTTGAAGAAAATGGGAAAACTATGAAAGAGGGAGGACAAAGCTAGAAGTAGAAGGCACGGCTAGAATAAAGCATTCATGAAGGAAAATAAATAATTAATGCACAACGCAGGTCAAAGTTAAAATCATGTCGTTCTACATAAATCATGTCACTAGCCAAACCAAAAACCAGATATACCAAATACAAATAATCTTGTTTTAGTTACCTAAGCATATGGAAAAATTGAAACTACAAACCGAGTCTTACCTCACTCCAATATAAATCTTAGCAAAGAAAGCTTAAAAAACATAAAATCAATATATAATGGTCATTATTGTAAAATACAACACCAATAAAGAAGCAGATAAAATGATAAAGGTCTTATACTCACGCCTGGCCTGTGGTATTCCACACATCCCACAAACTTGGACCAAGCATGTCCATAACCTGCATATAATATAAAGATAATAATTAAAAATTCGTTAATTGGCTAAGCTGGCAATGAAATAATACAATACTTGTTGTGTAGATCATACCATCACGTAATATTCTCCTTGCCTTCCTTTATAATGTACTTTAGGTATTCCGTGACTTCCACCAAGGGTGCTTCAAAACAAATTATATAAATCAAATCTCAGGCAAATTTTCTTTTCCACAAAACTTGTATGCATAAAATGCAAACCAATTTGCAAAATACTTCAATTAATATACCTACTTGTACACTTGCCACTCATATGGAGGGCCGTAGTTACAACCTTTACTATTTCTATGTTCAAATTTCAAAGCCACCTGAAATATGAAAGATAGCCATCAACTTAAAGCCAAAGGAAAATTCTTTAACCACTTAATAGCAACAACCCTCAGCATACCTCAGTGGCACCGGGGCCATTAAGGCGATCATTACCACCGGTAACTCGACGACCAACAAAAACCTGTCCAAACCCACCTTTGCCAAGTTTCCTCTCCACTTTGTACACAGGCGAACCTCCTACTTGAACCTTTGGGTCAAAACAAATTAAAGGAAAGAAAAAAAATATAGAAATGAATAAGCACAAATGTATTAACCATGGTTACATCAATCAATAATAATAAAATAATGAATGTATAGAGACATTACACTATGGCCACATTTAACCAAACAACTTAATTTGAAACACTTTCTGGCACTAAATGCAAACATCTCTCCTGCCAGTCTTCGAACAAACAACTTAATTTCGAAAAGCTTAATTAAGTATAACATTTAAAAATATTAAAATAAGTTCAAAAGAGCTTATTACTAAATCATAGCTCCTTGTATTAGATTAAATTGATTTTTTTTCCATATGCTCTCTTATTTAACTTCTACATAGTCACCATAAATTCATACAAATTACAATCATTTATGAAATCAGTTACCACAAATACTAAATTTCTTTTAATCAAAACAATCTTAAATTGAAAAAGTTCATAAATTCATACCCTTTCAGGAAAAGGAGTAGTATTTCCCTCATCCTCTTGAGGAACGCCTTTATTAGCACTCAAACCCCCACTTTCATCGCCCATATCTTCTTCCTCCTCCCTTACGTCGTTGTCCGACTCAGATATCTCGATAACCGATATCTTCTGCTTGTTTCTCTTCGCCGCCGCGACAGCGGCGCGTGTCTTCACGTATTTGTCCGCTGGTTCGGTTTTTTCACGGCTTACCGGAGCAAGACGACGTCGGCGTCCGCTACAAAGCACCCGCATTCTCTAAACCCATGCAAACGATTGGAAACGCTGATGATTATCCCGATCATTGTATGCGTTGATTCATCGATGAAATTGTTGATTGGGTTTGCAAAATAATTGTATAGAAAGGGGAAAATATAATTGGTGGGGTTAATTTGGATAATTAGGGTTAGGGTTGATGCACGAAGTGAACGAATTTTGAATTGGGCGAAAGATGATATGATAATGAGAGAGATAAGATACAAAATAATGAAATCTAAGAAAAATCTTTTATCATAGATTATATTTGGTAGGACAAAACTTACCTACAACTCTTTAGGTTAACAAAAATAAACATAGGTTTTTCACATCGAGCACATTTTTTTTAATGAGAGGTTCTTCTAGAAATTATTTTAGTTGGACTACTTTTCATTTTTTTTAATGAGAGGTTCTTCTAGAAATTATTTTAGTTGGACTAGTTTTCATTTTATTACATGGGATTCAGCTAAACTCGATTAAATTGATTGTTTTGTATGCGTTGTAAATCTTTTATTGATTTGTGTATCAGTATATTTTAGTGAAGGTCGTAAGAGCTGACGTGGGGTTCTCAGTCGTCTCTTTATCGGATTGATCGTCTATTTATTAGATATGTCACTCTTTTGTTGGATATCTTGCATTCCTCAAAGATAAGTCATCTGACATAGAAATTGGGGGGTAACGTGTCTTCATTCCGTAACGATGTGGAAGAAGTCATGAAGAAATGGGTCATGCTTCTCTAAATAATATGAGATAAATTGTCCACTTGCTCAGCAGTTACTATTTCCAAGGAAGTCTTGGATCCAGACCTAGTATGGCTATAAATGACTCAACATCATGACAAATGAGGACCTAACTTACAAACAGAAATACACATATACAAAGGTTCTCACCCTACGTGAGTTAGCTCTCAACCTCACAACAACCTTAAAACCTCTAATAGCCTTTAATCACTGGGAATTGTGACGCATTTCTACTTTTAGCAAGTACAATTGGCGTCTGCTGAGGGGCCTGGTAAAACTGACATGGATCATCATTGTAGTATTCAGTTGGATTATTGTCCTCACGTTCATCATCCTTGTCCATCATAGTGAATAAAAAGACCGCAACTCGGATTAACAAGGAATCTAACGGCAAGAAAAGTGTCATAGCAGATATGTGTGTTGTTATAAATGACCTTCTTCGCCAAAACCAAACTCTGTAGGATAATGTCCTTCATATCCATCAGCGTCAATAAGAGACAGACATGGTGGACAAATTGGAGATGTTGGATTCTCAATCTCTATCTGATGAGATATGGGAGACGTATGTCCTAGAGAACTTCAATCTGCCATCATTGGCTAAGTTCAATGTACGCATCGTGTAACACCTTTTTCTACCCACAAATATAATGGTGAATTAATCATAATAATCAGAGTAAAATATTGAACGCAATAAAATCATCTCAAAATGGCGCATATTTCTCAATAATTCAAATATAGTCAATGCTCTGTAAACAACGGGTTTTCCCAAAATTACTCTAAAATATTACTCAAAAGGCAGCGGAACTCAAAAAGGTAAAATCTAAAGTTTTTCTTGCGCAACAACATAATCAAAATAACAATAACCAATAAAACATGGTTTAACTCAAAGACCCCAACCCAATGTTACGCTATCAAAGCAAGGGTCTCTAAGTCAACCACAATGGCCAACGACCCAAAAACTTCAAAAAGTCTTTGACGACATCCACGGCTAAACATGGTCATCTGCACGTTACCCACGTGGAGGCAACATTCAAACAGGCAGGGTGAGTAAAACGACTCATAATAATCAATACAGGAATCAATATATAAAATGACGTCATTTTCATATTCAACATCATCATAATCATCAAGGAACATCAAAGACCATGACATTATAAATTACACCAAAATGTCACCTAAATGCAAATGCAACAAGACTCATGCATATGGTACCAATCAACAAAATTCGATAGACACTAGACCATCAACCCTCCATAGATCCACAACAGTAGGATCGATTTTACACGAGAACTAGAGCACAACAAAATACCTCACATCCGCACAATGGGACTGAAGCCACGAGAATCAAGGTCCTGGACCGAAGCTCGGAATGCATATGAATGCATGATGCACACGTCAATATCATCCTCATAATAAACTCATTAGGTGCATCATCATTCATCAAAATCATCATAATAATCATGTCATCATATAATCATCAAAACTCATGGAATCAACATTATAACTCATCATCATTACTCATAGGAATCGTCATACAATCATGTATTAATCACATAGGAATCACAGTCATACTCATGGTAATTCATCAAAGAAATCACAACATCAAAACATCAAGACATCACTGCACAAGATCATAATTTGCGAAACTTTGCTACGTTGGCTAGCAAGTTCGTTGTACGAGTTTGAGGTGAATGTTCGCCGTATGAACTCGCGATTACAGCAAATCGCTGTTATGCACCAGACCAAAAACCTCTACGATTTCCTTCCCCGATGCCCTAAAAACATCTATAAATCATTCCTAAGGTATTACAGCGATAAAGGTACAAAATCTACGACTTATTAGGCCAATCTCGTATCATATTTACGCCTCCAATTCCCATAAATTCTTACAAATACCCCACAGTCATTAAAGTTCTCATAATCAATTACCCTATACGGTTAAAACCTCAACAACAGATTTTGGCCACAAAGGCCTAATTTCCCTTACTTCCAAATCAGCCTCAAACCTATCAGACCATCAGTTCAAATCTCTCAAACTCATTAAACTCATCACCAGAAAGGCAACAACAATCCAATACTAAAAAATTCCTAAACCTTTAAATCAGCTTTAAACACATTGAATCACATATTAAAAACAATGAAGGCAATATTCCTCATACCTTAATTGCCACCTCCAAGCCTTTCTCCTTGATTCTTGGAAACCTCGCGAAGTCTTGCCTCAATCCTCTTCCTCAGAGCTCTGGCCTCTATTTCTTCCCTTTTCACGGTCTAACCAGAGTGAATCATAATTCCATCAAAATTCTTTTTTGTTAAACCTAACTTTGGGTCTTAAAATTGGAGTTTCCAACTTCACCCTCACTGACTCCTCCTCAAGTGTCCACTTTGCCCTTAATTCACTTATATTTATTTTAAATTAATAATAATACCAATATATTCATATTATATACTATTATTCAAATAAATAACTCAAAATCCATAATTCCTAATATTCACACCAACCACCGAAAATCACCAAAATGCGAATATTCATATTTAAATAAATTAAATAAATATTACAAGAATTTAGGGTGTTACACATCGACCTATATGAACATGTGGCTCTCATCAATACTCAGATGGTCATCACCGGGGCACCTGACTCTTTAAAGTGCAAGAATTTTTTGTTTGACAGCTTTAGAGACCCAATTTTTAGGTGGTATATGGGCCTCCCTCGACTCTTTGCCACCAGCTACCAAGACTTGGTGAAGAAGATAATCCACCAATTCACCACAAGAAGGCATATGAAGTTGACTGCCACTAGTTTATGCAAGATTTAACAAGGTCTCTTAGATTCGTTGTAGGAGTATCTCGTCCGCTTCAATAAAGCAACAATCTAGGTAATCCATCCAAACTAGGAAAAGTTCATATAAGCATTCTAAAACTAGCTCGAGGCAAGACACTTCAACAAATCCCTTGCTTATAGGCCAGGGGCGTCCTTGGCTGAGACAGTAACACAAGTAAAATGTTACATCAAGGGTGAGGATAACAATGATGAAAAAGTAGGCTTGGGTGCAAAAGAAAACACTAACAATAGATAAAACTCATGAAGGAACTAATACATGTTACCCATGAGGAACAATACAACATTCAAACAAAGTGGAAATCCCACTAAAAGCTTCACTCTCCTGAATACCCACTAGGAGAAAATATGGTGAGAGGTCCTACTTATGCATAAAACCCTTCAACCGCCAACTCCCATAACATCCTCATAATTGTTACAAGTTCCATAGAGTTAAGGGACATTGAATGGATGACTGCTACCAACTAAAAAATGAGATATATCGCCTCATCTAAGAAGGGAACCTGAAGAAATACATCAAGGGTAGCTCCGCTAGAGGACTAGAAGAATCCAACTCTCTAGGGAGAGATTCCTTGAATAATATTGGATCCAAAAATAGGAAGGAGTCAAACAAAGGAGAATGGGACATATCCACTCGTCATACCCTTAACACCATCGCACGAGGATTCACTAGAGGTAGAGTGACCATTTTTTCTTGGAAGAGATATGTCCACCAAAAGTTGTTGATGGTCGACCTATTAACTCTGAGACATGAGAATCATAAGCTCTATATGCCAAGGCTACCTTTTCCAATAAGGATGTTGTCAGCATTCACCCGCACAATGATAACCTCATGGTTATCATCATTTGATGCGACGATTAGGACATTAAAAGAGTCCTGATTGATTAAGGGAACTTTATGGACATCCTATAATAGGATGCATTTGAGAGGCTCCATCTGGATTTGGATTACCTCAAACCCTTATAGGGAGTTAAAATGGACATCACCAAATATCAAGGTACTATATGATCTTTACTATATTTAATGGCGAGTAGGCTATATATTGTGTTTTGTGTATGTATATGTGCTAGATATCAAGAGTCACCAAAGGATTCCCATTGTACGATTATAAAAAAGATTTGGAGGTATATTAATAGAACCCCACAACATGGTATTTGGTTTCCTAAAGGTAGCGCATGCAACTTAGTAGGTTTTTCTAATTCTGATTTTGCGGGGTACAAGTCGGATAGGAAAAGCACTAGTGGTAGCTTGTCGCTTGTTTGGAAACTGTTTGGTTTCTTGGCACAGTAAAAAGCAGTATGATAATTCTCTTTCTTGAATATGTAATCGCTGGTAGTTGTTGTGCATAAGTCTTATGGTTAAAGCAACAATTACTAAAATTGTGATTTAAAACTTGGTTGCTTCCGATCAAGTGCAACAA